GAGGGTGGGGAGGCCCTGGCACAGGTTGCCCAGAGAAGCTGTGGCTGCCTCTGGATCCCTGGAAGTGTCCAAGGCCAGGTTGGAGGGGGCTCTGAGCACCCAGGTCTGGTGGAAGGTGTCCCTGCCCATGGCAGGGGGTTGGAACTGGATGATCTTTAAGGTCCCTTCCAACCCAAAGCATTCCATGATTCTAAAACCACACTTTTGGCAAACAAATTGCTGAATTAGACACACCAGGTACCCCACGACACGTGAAGCTTGATTTATATAACAGCACCCCTGCCAGGGGGAGGGTTGGGATTGTGCTCACCTAATTAGATCAAAATACGTGAAGTTCTACAACAACTTGTGCCAACAAGGCTTAAATTCCTCTCAGCATCAGCAGTTAATGAAGTAAGTGGGCAGCCAGTGTTGAGTGCCCTTCCCCACAGCTGCCTCCTGTGATCAGTGCTCCTGGGGCTGCCTCTTGTCCTCCTTTAATCCCTCGGAGCACGGAAGGGTTTTTCATGCTGGCAGAATCATGTCCAGGCAGGTTTTGAATATCTCCAGAGAAGGAGACTCCACAGCCTCTCTGGGGAGCCTCTTCCAGGTCTTTGCCACCCTCACAGGGAAGTTTTCCTTCGTATTCCCGTGGAACTTCCTGCGTTGCAGCTTTTGCCCGTTCCCCCTTGTCCTGTCAGTGGGCACCACTGAAAAGTTTGGCCCCATCCTTTTGGCACCTGCCCTGGGGATATTTGTGTGCACTGATAAGGTCACAGAATCAGAGAATGATTTGGGTTGGAAGGGACTTCAAAGATCATCCAAGTCCAACCCCCTGCCATGGACAGGGACACCTTCCACTAGCCCAGGTTGCTCCAACCTGGCCTTGGACACTTCCAGGGATCCAGGGGCATCCACATCTTCTCTGGGCAACCTCTTCACCCTCACAGGGAAGGCATATTTCTTCTAATATTCTTTCTGAAGATGCCAAAGCCATCTCAGCACCACAAGAGCAAGATGAACCCTGGTTCCACGTGGATTTTATCCCTCCCTGCCCTCCAAGGGCGGACTCAGGGCTGGCACCACAGTGCTGTGGTTTCAGCCATGGTCATCCCCATACCCACCAGCCTCAGGACTGGCCAGGGCTCAAAGGTTTGGCCCCAACAGTGACCTAGAGCTCACCCTGAGTCCCCCCTGGCTTGGCTGAGGGATCTGAGCCTGTTACACCCCATTTTCTGGGCTGTTTTCCAGGGCCTGGGTCCTGTTAACTCTTCCCATCACTTCCACGTCCTTCCTTGACCAGAGCACCCTGGACAAAAGCATCCCACTGGTGCTCTCAAGTGCCACTGAACCCTCCCACATCCCCCCTGTTGCATCTGGAGATTAGGTTTGGAGCCATTCAGGCTTTAACTGAGACCTGTGGCTTATTTAAATAAATAGTGCAGGCTGTGAAATGCTGGGGACATCAGGAAGGTGCAGCACAGCCTCCCCCTCACTGCCTGTGACCTTCTGGACCTCTCCTGGAAGGAGCATTTGGCACATCCCTGTGAGGAGGGGTCTGGAGGGACAGGGGTTGGACACAACTGGGGGTCACCATGTCTGCCCTTGGAAACAGTGACCCCTGAGCCCCCCAGAAGTGTCCTCTCTCACAGCAGGCCCTGGGCACGGCCTCAGGACAGTGATGATAATCAAATCACACGCTCCAGGGATTCTGCCTGCAGGAATAAGGAAAGCAGGGCTTCTTTTGGCCCCTGCCCACGGCACAATTAACTGGAAGTATGTGGAGGCTTTTTGTGTGTTTGTGTCTCTTTGCCTTGTTTCCCATTTTGAAGGAAAAGGAAAAGAGAAAAAGAGAAAAAGAGGAAGAAAAAGAGAAAAAAAAGAGAAAGAGAAAAAGAAAAAGAAAAAGAAAAAGAAAAAAAAAGAAAAAGAAAAAGAAAAAGAAAAAAAAAGAAAAAGAAAAAGAAAAAGAAAAAA